AGAGGCACGAAAAAAACCAACGCACGGCCTGGCCGCCGGAGGAGAATCGGACATTTCTGCTGCCTACTTCACTCGTCCAAAGCAAAGGCCACAATTCAGGATTCACATTTCAGGCAGGCCTACTGCTGCTTTCACCCTCTTCTGCAAACCAAACCTAATCCAAAAGGCATGCTAAATGAGTGGGAAGATAGAACAACCGGTCCAGAAGAGTGGCGGTAGGCGTACGGTATCAAACTGATAAAGACTCACGTCCTATTTCCACCAGGATTCCAACGGAAAGTACCCGGTAAAATAGAAGCTGCCAGGCAGGGCTGAGGAGCCTTCCTGCCTCGCTACATTGTCAAAAACACACCATGCACCAAAACTACGCACCGACTGTGGCGGGTGAAACAGAAAAAAACCCAAAAAGTAGAAGCGCGTGGCAGGGCATTCGTTTGTGTGGTCACGGTTGCGCTTAAGAAGTGAGAGTCGCTTGCACCGGATTTCTCGCAGCGTGCATCATGCAGCTACCAGCTACAGTTGCCGCGAAATCGGTGGAAACATTTTCCAAGGAAAATAAAAGAACTCACAAGCTGCGTTCAAAGTGGCAGCCCACCTCACGCGTGGAATCATGGACTGTAAAACGCCCGCAAGGGTCCACTAAATACTACAAACGCAGAAACAGCTGCAGCATCACATGTTTTTTCTTCATTGGTGGTGTAGCCTGCAGGCCATTTTGCGCCTTGAAACTGCGCCATGCCCCGCTGTCTAAAGCGACGACGTTAGCCTGCTGCTAAAAAGGTATTTCGCCACTTGGGTAGCTTTCTACTGCTGCATACTTCATTGTCACTCGCAACGTACTTTCTAAGGGAAAAGCCAAAAGCACCACTATGCTCGCTTTAACGGTTGGGGGAATTCGTTCGCCCACAAGGGTGAAGCATGTGCATCACATTGGACCAACGCAATTCGCAACGCAGATCCTGCCTACGCGTAGAAGGGGTTAGCACTTCGCTGAGAAGCGGTAAACCCATATATTGCTCACCTTAGTGCATTTCGCCAACCTTAGCTGACTGTCACAAACCCTTACCGACTACCAGGCAAAACACTGCCCCCAGCTCAGAGAAATGGGCTTCGACAGGCAGACAGGCACGACTTTAGACACCTGTGCATCACCTAAATGGTGGACGTGACTGCAAAGCGAAGCCTAACTGGCATTAATACGCACCGCAGCAAGTATGGACAGCCGCACGCTAGTGCGATTCCGCACCAATCTATCACCTAGGCTCCATGGGCCAAAGACATGTACGTACCACAGGCAACTTACAAGCTATAGCGTACAGGTTTGCACGGAAGCACGCATTCGCCACGCGTAGGTGCGCATGAAAGAAGAGAATCTCCGCGTGCAAGGAAGAAAGCGAAGCGAATTTAAATGCACCATACAGCAGCTCTTGGGAAGCGTCCGGATAGCAGAACATGAACCAGTGCCCTGACTTACATTCTAAAATGATCCGCAAAAGACGCAACTGGGCAGTCTTGAATGCTGACCATGGACAGGCGTGACGAATATTAAGAAAGCGTTAATGTGAAATCTAGTTGCTGCCTAGACTCACCTCCTAGAAGTACAACCACAGCCTACCGTTGCTTCTCCTTGATGCGTAACATCACTACTGCAATCATACTGGCTGTCCAGAATGTGCCTTCATCTAGAATGTGGCCGCGCGACCCACTCCAACTGCTTGCTGCAAATCCACAAGCATTCCACGGAAACAAATGACGGACTCGCTGGAGAAGCGGATAATTACGGCAAACTGATGAGCTCCGCATTGGGCCTATTAGTCTTTGCTTTGCGCCAAAATCCGGCTGAATGTTGCAAGGGTCATTCACTCCACAAATACGGACCCAACATAGGCAGCAACAAATGTAATCTTCAGACGAGCATTCATAGCTCAACGCGAACTTCCCCAGATGCCTTGCAGGCGAAACTCTAGCAATAATTTTCTTTGGGCGCATGCAAAGCTTGCCATTCACATGCCCGAATACTGGGTTTCCGGACACAATCGTGTATCCCGTCGCTACGTGCATTGGCGACGTTCACGAGAAATGTTCAAGCCTATGGATGTGCAATTTTCCCCCTTCCGTCGGTTCCTGCCAGCCAGAGATCAGTATAAGACACAGCCTACACAAGGTGCGACTCACCAGCTGAGCGACGAAGCAACCAGTTGACATCATCAGCATTCCCCCTCAAACTGTATGGTACCGAAACATATTCAGGAGATGCGCAATGCAAGAATCAGAAGCCCATTGTGCTTCCGCTGCACTGTGTCCTCCTATCAGAAATGTATAGCTATAATACCATGGGGTTGGATTATCCTTCCCCTTTTCGGGGTTTTACAGCCGGTGGCCACATGTCAGTATTCGCGTCACCTACCTACATTAGCTTGCCGTTCAAAAGAAGCTGCCAGTACCATGCATGGTAGTATCCTTATGCCGTTGATTGGTGCGTCCACCAATGCGATTCTGTACAATAAAAAGCGCCATGTGGAAACACACGCTCTGCCAGAGACAGTCATTCATTTCAATGTCTTCAGCGTTTACCAACAAAGTCGTCGATCAGCGACGGCATTTAAGCGGATTACCTTTGTTCGTGACTTAACATTTTCAGCGCTTTCAAGCAGTGTGCACCGCACCACTGTGCACCAACACGCAACCGAAGCCTTGGGAGCGAGGAAACTCGCCTTGAGCCTGCCCGATGAGACAAGGGCCAAATATTGCATTGGACGCACATCCTGCGGACGTGACGAGGGCGGAAACAATTTACGAGTGATTCTCCAAATGCAGTTGAGCCACCGCACAACCCACCTGGTGAGGTTAAACCACAAATATGCCGTCAGGATTGGGGAGGGCTGGTAGGCATACACAAGCCCGGATCAATAAATGCCTTTCACGCAATCTGCCGTTCAGGTAAGTCATTCAGCGTAAAATAAGGCCTCAGAAATGCCCAAATTTCGCGTTGGTCCGCTCGCCCGCTTTGTGCGTGCAGAAGCCAGCACCCTGGTCTCGGCGTTTGTGAACCACACGATCTTCACCATTGGCTGCTACGTGTCTTGAATTCTGATTGAAATTTACTAGGCCACACTTCTCAGAGATGCGAACGATACAATAGACGACGTACAATCTAAGCTCCAACAGTGTCTCCCGCGCAGACGATACAGCCCACAACAGGGATGGACAATATTCAAATGAATCTGTACCCGCTCTAACAAGTGCCTACAAATGCCCATATATTCTATATTTGAGCCAAACGGTATTGCTTAATTGTTCACTGAAACCTTCTGCGGCAAAAATCTGCACTTTGGCAGCAATGGGGAGAGAATTCGCCTCTGTGTGCAGAGGAACTAGCAAAACGCCTGCAAGCTCAAATTTCTGCAGCGTAACGTACTCTCTTCAGATTGAGAAATCTGGATACCTTCCACTTTCTGCTACCTCCTGGAGAAAAGGTTTAAAGCCACGCAAGCGAGTAGTCGACGCCATGTATCTACTTGTATGCTAGCCTGGGCAGGAAGCCCATCTAGGACTAACAGCCTGGTCGTACGGGAAGCAACATATAAAACAGCGGGCAATTCGCTTGCTCATTGAGCGGCAAGGGAGGAACTTCGAAGCTGAGAGCGAATATGCATACCGTCACAAAAGGTGGGTGGCTTGCTGGTCGGAACCAAAAAATAACAGGCAGTTCTCTAGGTTTGATGTTCCGACAGACAGAGAGGCAACGGGCGAAATGTTCAGCTGCATCACATGCATGGCCAGTAACAGCTACAAAGAAAATGGTCGTATCAGTACCTGCTGCAGAGGGTTCCATCCGGCGCTCACATCCTTGATGACCGAATAGACAATTTCAGTCATCTTTCAACTCCCTAGCAGTAATCAGCGCTTACAGCACGAAAATATGCGTGGATCGTCATCACCCGGGGGAAAATTGTTGGTGAAATATTCGTTTTCCTACAGTACGCTGAATCAATCTACGTAATGCCGGTCAACTGATATAAGTGCTCGAATGCATACCTGGCGAGATCCTGAAAGGCAGGTGCCCTTCTATACGCATGCATCGCCCTTCGGGCGTTCATCTGGTGCAAACGACCCAAGGAGTGCTTCTGCACGACGCAGTATCAGCAGCACGCGCTGCTGTTGCTGCCAAAGCTGCAGGTTCCTACTGCGTACACTCCGCATGCCTCGAAGCGCCTCATATTGTACTTGAAGGGTCAGCTTACGAGCTGAGGCCGTGTCAAGACTTAAAAAGAAAGCCACGGTTGCTACTTGAATCCGGTAAAAGTTTAAGGCACATACAAGGTGTCTTCTAAACAATAATTCTCGCATATATATGCACGTAGACTCACTTCCTAGTACGGCAGGATCCAAATCGAAGATGAAGCTGCCGATGTTGCATAAAAACCCCACAGGTCTAGCCTACACAAACTTCGAAAGTCCGCATGCACAGGGCCCAGGGAATCTTGTCATTACAGGAGAGCGATGCCATCGAGCAAAGAATATGGCGAAGCTTTTTTTATAACTAACTTCCTGAGCACACGTGCGTGAAGAACTCCGTCCCTAACCATCCCCTGACTGTCCACCGTAGTAGCACCCAAACTTTCAGGACGTGGGGGGCAGAAATCCAGCAGACAAGGATGAGGAAAGGGACAGCACTAACATTTCCGCCGTCGTGCCTTGCCTGCCCCAAACTGCGGTAGAATGGTCCCAAGATAAAATTTCCCGAATGTACAATTGCGTCGAGTCGGATATCAGAAAAATAGCAAACAATCTAGGCACCCACGTAACCTTCTGGTTATGTGCTATGGATGCTCCGCTACAGCTTCGTTTGAACAGTCAGTGGTGCCTAGAAGCACGCGCCGGAGATACCGAAGAGATTAACAGCTACAACCATACATATGCTATATCAATGCTGCAGTGCCACAAGGTTTGAGCAACGAACCAGAAGGTTGTTGCTGTGGAGGGCTGTGGAAGCGTATCGAGGAAAACTAACGAATAGACTTACTTGCTGTTAGAGCAGGTATCGATTCCCTGCCGGCGCAGTTTAATGGGGATGCCGCACATGGTCTTTATGATGTTTCGCACGGCTCGTTCAAGCCTCTGCGAACCTGAATCTTGTGCGTCTGCCTCACGCCCTACCGTTCCTGCCAAGCTACTTAGTTTTTCTATTTTTGGCATCGAGAAAAATCGCACTTCCTTTGCGATGGAAAAACCAACGAGCATATCCCGCTCACGTATGTGAGAAAACACCTCAAAAGCGAGTACTACGCTATGCTGACTGTAGTACAGAAGCATTGAACTTCGGGATGTCAGCAAGTCAAAGGATGCGGAATAACCTAGGTGCCTACCGCATTCACTTCACTTCGCAGTCAGATTTTTCGGAAGGCCCAAATGGCGGCAGCCACCCTCTGTGGAAACACACTTCCTAAGCTCATAGCATGCATGCATTTAGACGAAAGCGCGACGTTGTATATTGCGCTGCCCCTGTGCAGCACAGGCCATTGTATTTGTGCTCCGCTAACCTCCACACACATCATTCCCGTACACACATCTCGCGCATTACAAAGGTATACAACGCAGTGCGTACCTGAGTTAGAAGCGTGGGGACTACTGAAAAGCACATCCTGTTCTTAGCCGAAGAGGAAATGCTACGACGCCTTCTACGAACAGATGTTCTCCCCGGCAAGTTCAAGTGCATCATGCACTGCTACCGGGACTGCAACTTCCCAACATGGCGAGTTTAGTGAGAGCTGAATTCCAGATCTCACTTCCTGAACATTGTTTTTCGAATCTTCACAAAGCCGCCCTGGACCGGAAGCAACTGTGCAATAGGCTATCAACGGCCATTTACACAGTGGATGCTATTAAAGCGCAGAAAGCTCAACAAGTTTCAGTGCCTTCTCAAAATGGACGAAATATTAACCTAGCACCGTTTTGCTTTTGCATTGTGTGGACGCACTTGCTGTGCGTAAGAGAGCCATCAGCGAGCAAGAATAACCAAAAACTAAGGGGTCACTCCAATAAGCACATGGCAGCGTAGCAATGGAAATCATGGCTGCCACGGTGGCGATCGCTGTGCTTTCTCTGACTGGATGTGGTTTTTCTTGCAAACCCAAAAGCGTCGCCCCACAAACTGAACAAGTGCCCACAGATGCATTCAACTTCCCTAGTAGAGACGGACTTTCTGAACAGAGCAAAGCCATCTCCAACTTGACTATAAGACAGCGTGAAACAAAAATGCTCGGTGTTTTGTTCTTCTCCCTTTTAGGCGTTGCATTATCATTCAAGTGGGAGAATGGCGCTGTGGCTGTGAAAAGCAGCAATTCCATACAACACGTTGTGGAAGTACATTAGGCCTGCACAGGCCTAATGTGCTGATACCGCTGCTGTATCCAGTCTCACTGGCATGGAGCTCTCTGCATTAAGTAGAACTGCAGCTATTATCCTTAACTGTGTCATGAACCACGTGGCACGTAATCCCAAGAACCAAGTTGCCGGGCCGACTCTCCAGCAAGCCACTCCCTTCGTAGGCCACAAGCCACGTAGAGCATCGAAACAACACCATCAAGAGCTATGCTAGCCAACAAAATGCGCGCTCAGCTTACTTCACAAGTTTCGCCAACTTGTAAGTTAAACGCCGATATAAAACCATGCAGATAGGTTCTCCGCGTTTCCCCATTGAATTCCAAATTTTGTTCTTGGACTACACTACATACTTGCTGCACAAGGACCACAAGTACAAACGCATTTTCTTAACACAACCTTTCAGTTAAGAGCGATCAACCACCTCCGCCTGCAGCAAGGCACACCATCAGGGACTAGGCTGCCACACAGAGTGCCGCAATTTCGATGACGCTGGCAGTGTTCCCACTCTAGGGCTGGAAGGTCTCCCGTATACCTTGTTGCCTCCATACACTCGGGAAAGACTAAACACCCAAGACACTAAAATGGAATATCAGCGCTTGGCCGCAGCCGTAGTCCATCATGTCTGACACTGTCTGATAGCCGCAAAGGCTGTTATGGAATCCTACCTTCTGAACCGTATGGGACAATAAATTCGTTCCATGCGAGCTAAGGACCTGATTACGCTCTGCCGGCTTAGCGGGAATGCAAAGAGACTAGGCTTCTTACGGTCCAATTTATATTCCAGTGCCTAAAACCCAATATGTGCGCTCGGAGCTAGAACTCGTCTAGCCTTGCAGAGTAGCGCACTCTCTGTCCCGCGTGTAGGAAAGACAGCGTTTTGCTCGCAGTCATTGCAGCAGAGCTTGGACACTGTTCCAACTGGGCGCAGTGCTAGCTGTCACCATCATTCGAACTCAGAAGACCCTACTGCTAAGCCAACAGTAGTGGACACGACGGAAAGGCTGCACTCAAGGATTGACACCGGTGGTTGGTGTCAAGGGCACTGCGGCAACGTCAGGTTCGCGTGGGCGCCCAGGACTTCCTGACTGACGCTAGCAACCGTAGAATCTAAAGATACACCTTAATGCCGCAAGCGCCATCGATTCCAGCTCAGCAGAAAACTGCCCCTTCACACTCACCCACGGCATCCACCGATACGAAATTTAACGGACTTCCTGAGAAATCAGCAGCTCGTACTCCCGGAGGATC